AAGAGTGACGTTTCTGAGTCTTTCAGCAGGGCAGAGTATGTTGCCTTTGTAGCTTTCCCACTAATGTTTTCAAGTGTGAAATGATTTACCTTAATGTGAAAGTCCATTTTCGACTATCTCTGCTACTGCTTAGTGAAGATTTAGGGAGTGGAAAATGATGGCTGAATTCAAAGTATGTTTTAAATGTAATTGCAACTGTGGATGTATTTCAGTATTTTAATTTTAGCCAGAGACATTATGTGCAGATTTGATGTAAATTGCTTCTCAGGAACTCTTACAAAACCTTTGCTTTAGGACTGTTAAGACTAGATGGTTTTCATTTGTACTTCTCATTTGTAGTTTTTAGAGGGATTTTTCCTAAAAAATAGTCTGAAGCTGCAGTTTTTCATGATGATTTTGTCAGACATGGCACTTAAATTTCTAGTGTATACCTGAAGTAGCTGCAATTTTTTAAATAAATGAATAGGAAAACCAGTTTTACTACAGAATTTGTTCCGTCACTTTTTGATGTACTGTAAACAATGCACAAAGGTTGAGCCACATAAAGTGTTGGTTCTAAAATTGGTTTTCATTATACATTGTGACTGAATCGTGTACAAAGGCATAGTGTCCTCTGAAGAGCTTGTTTGATCAGGTTCACCTGAATCTGGCTGCATGCTAGCCCTGGCCTTCACTTCCAAGTGTTTTTGAATTGCTGTAAGTCTTTGTTTTCTTAGGGTAGCCTTTAGCATGCTCCTCTCTGGTTGGTAGCTTGTGTTACAGCAGGAAGTGTTTAGAATGATTTCTGTGATGGTTTCCTCATATTTTTGTGAATCTGTGTCAGGCTGCATAAGAAAGAACATGACACTGTCATGCAGTATTTATTTCATAGCTATAGTGATTAGTCATACAATGGATGTATCCAAAAGCTACCAACCCTTTGTGCTGGAAAGGTTATCTTGCCATTCTTTTCCTCTCCGTGATTATTGCCTTGTCACTGGGATGGGATGAGGAACTTGAAGTAAAAGGCTATAGTCGTGGTAGTGCTTGGAGTAGTCATCTGTGAAGCTGTTGGAAGTGCTAAATCCCCAACCCTTCCCTTACCCACACAAGCATCTTTGCACTCTGTGAACCTTGTAGAGAAAAGGGTGGTGCCTCAGGGGCAGCAGATTCTTCCTCTCCTCAGCAGAAACCACTGAAGGCTGTATCAGATTTCCAAGCTTCCAGCTAGGCACTTCCATGCCAAAATGTCCTGTAAAGATCCACACAAGGGGCGTAAGTCCCTTCACTGCTTTATAAAATGATAGTTTTCAGGCTACAAGTCTTTTTGAAATGTTTTATGTTGTGAAGTGTCACTGAGCTGTCACAGCCTGTCTTCTAACTCCTTTGCTGCCTCTTAGGATTTCATAGAGTCATCCGTGGCACTTTTTCAGTCTGATGATGAAGATGGGAAATCATTAGACATCACCAATGAAGAAATCCCTGATTTGGAGCAGGCTGGGTTTGGCCCAGAGACAAGATCAATTCTTGTGAGAAGTGGAGTGTAAGTCTACTGAAATACACGGGTGGAAGTATTTGCACATTTAGGTTTGGGTAAATGCTTTGAGAGAATGTATTTCACATGGTACAGGTGGTAAACTTTGGGAGATATCATAGTTTGAGTTCACCTCACCAGTAGCAAGAGCTACACAGCTGCCTGCTCACCCCCATCCCTCTCTCGTTCGGGAGGAGAAGGGAGAAAATTTACCAAAAAAAGGCCCAAGGATTGAGATTAGAACAGCGAGGGCTCATTCACCATTTATGCTCAGGTGCAAAAACCAGAATAGACTTTGGGGAAAAAACATCAATTTAATTTACCACCACCAGTTTAACCAAATCAACTAGCTCAGAGTAAGATAATGAAATTAAAAATAAATACAACCTGATGTTAAATATACTCCCCGCTCTCACTCCTGCCTGGCCGTGGCCAGAGGCAGGTCTGATTTTTACCTGGCCTGGGAGAGGCTCTGGAAGTTTTGCAAAGAGCCACCCACCTTAGCGCTCCCCTCGCTACCAAAAAATCCCACCATACACAAACCCATGACAGGAGAGAGCAATGTTTCTTTCAGTTTCTTTGGTAAATGGAAGAAAAACAATCTTAGTTTTCTCTAAATCTCATGCCTCCACCGTGATTTGGATCTGGGTATTCTTGTTACTAGAGAAAGCTTGTGACTTTCCTCCAGAGGTTACACAGACTGTAATTTCACGACCCAGAGGCTTTGCAGTAATGCTGAAGAGGGATTTTAGGTATACTAAGAACGGGGATACCTTTTGGGACAGGTGGCACCTGTATGGAAAAGATAAGCTGTGCCTTATTTGTAGTAAAGTCAGGCACTGAAAAGTAAAATCGCTGTTAGGGAGCTATTTAAACTAAAAGCAGAAGGTTAAACTGACAAGTGTGGAAGAGCACCTGGCTCAAGCTGATACCTGCTTGTCAGATGGACTTATCAAGAAAACTCCAAATAAAATTGTTCTGTTTAGCACAGTAATATTTACATAGGAAAATGTGATATTTTAAATTTCTTTTTAATATCCTTCTCCAGGTGGGTTGCATATCAACAGAAGTATTTCTGTGGAGAGCAGTATGTATTGGAGAAAGGAAGATATAAATGTTTCTTTGACTGGGGAGGATCTAGTAAAATCATCATGTCAATTCGACCTGTTAAGTTGGTGAGTTACCAGAACTTGGTAAGGGGAAAACTGAAAAGAAATGAGACACTTGAAGTTAAGAGCAAACAATAATGTTATAATTTGGGTATGCTGTTTAATCAATTTGTCTATTTACTTGGAAACAATTTCAAGACCTTTATGAATGGCATAATGAGTCTATTCAGGATGGGGACTGAAATGGGTGCTCTGGATCTTTCTGTCTGTTGAGAAAATTGTCAGGGAAACTTCTTTCTGGCAGACTGCGTTCATGGAAGTAGTAACCTGGCCTGGAAAGATTAATTTGACTTAACATAGTAATTTAAAATGTCTAATTGATAATGGATACAAAAATACTTGAGAATTTATCTGGCCCATATTATTGTTGTATAACAGAGGTCTCGTTTATATTTTTTTCTTATTTTTATGCTGAAATATTTGTCATACACTGAATAATGACAAGAAATATTTTTAAGCCATTATTAAATCTGAGGTGGTGCAACTTTCCCAAACAGATTAGTGCTAGAACTGTCAACACCCTAATGCAAAGCAAAGACAATTTTCAGTAATGAGTATGTAATAAATGATACTATTGTACTGAAAAGAGGAAAGAAAAACGTAACCTTATTTTGAAAAGTATGTGTTGAGAGAGGTGTCTTCTGTTGGTTTTTATTCTTTTTTCAAGAAATAGACTCAAAATAAGTGCAGAGACATTTACATGGACTTTAATCCGCATTATGCGAACTAATTAATGCTGATACAAGTTTTCTGGGTGAAAGGTGCTTAACAGTCAGGCAGATGATCGTGAGCTTACAGGCAGCTGATGGCAGAGGCTGGGCAAGAGAATTGTGCCAAGAGCCTGGGAAGCGTGTTTTTCTCTGCTCTTGAGCTCATGATCAACAAATTTCAGGAACTTTTCTTCTAGAAAATTAATTGTAGTTAATTCTACTTATTTATATGCATGTGTATATATGTTTATTATTGCAGGAACCACTTGGAATGAATGAGCCTCCACATCTGGTATGTTGACATTATGTAATAGTCTTTAGTACTAAAGTGAATTTAATAATTAAATACAGGTAATGTTGAATGTCTTACTTTGTTACTTCAGATGATACCTCAGTATTATCATCTCCATATAGCAGACCACTGATGGAGGAAGCTGGTAGATGTATGAAGGTTAAGTTTGCTAATGTTCTGCTCTTTGCTTTATTCCAGATCATACCCTTTAGTATTCTGTCACCAAAAATGCGATTGGTTCAGTAGATTTTGAGTGATTCTCCATAGCTATTTATTTTCCTCTTCTTTCCTTCCTGTTTCTGGAGACTCGCTCTCACGTGCATTCATCCTTCTCTTTGTGACTTTTTTTTCCCATTGTTTTGCATTGTATCTAGTTTGTCACTATCTTGTTCACATATGAGGTGAAGAAGAAAGTATAAACTGCAGGAAATTGGGTTGCACTCCTCAAACCTGCATATTCATCAACAGGGGAAGTTGAGTTTTTTAATCTTGTGTGCTGGTAGCTCTGCTTTTCCTAGTCTCCCGAGCATGTATAGCTGCTTCTGAAGGAGCAGGTACCACTTGCTCTGTGCTTCCCTTTTCCTCACAGTAACGGACGACCTTAAGTGAATGCATCCTGACCCCAGTCTATGATAAATCTCTTCTACAATACATTCTGACAATTTTCCTGAAAATTGTATCTAACTTGGTGACAACCTACAAAGAGAAAGCTATCCCTTATAATTCACTTTTGGTCTCATGAATGAGTTAGTTTACGGTTTTGCACTTCTGATACTTATGTTAGAGGATTATGTTCAATTACTGTACCCTTGTGATATCTCTCTAAAACAAAACCCTCCTCAAAGTGGTTGTGCTCACAACCAAGTGTGGTCTGTGTCTCCCTCAATGTTCTGTCCCAACAAGGCTTTCCTCCCTTCTTGCTTTGGTTGTTTGATTTCTCTTTTTCTGTCCTGGAGTGTGCTGCTAGCATGGGTGATGATCTAAGTGGCTATATTTCTCTCTCTCTGACTTGCTTTTAGTTAAGCAAACTTGGAAAACTTTATTCCAAGAAACATGACATTTTTTCAGATAAAAAAGACTTCAGAGCTCAATGGTTCTGTGTCAGAAAACTTAAGTATTTTGTCATCTGGACATGATTTTGCTCTTTCTTGCTTGGATGGATATAATAGCTCTAAGTGCATAGGAAGTACATACATTGTTTTACATAACAGGTTGACCACACCTTTCTTTTTCTCCAAGTATTCTAGTTCTAGAGTTTTATGATTAACCCAGGACTACAGGAAATGTTTCCTGTTTGAAGAAATTGGTGTATTATTTTAGTCTTAAACACTGATTTCCTGCCAAACCTATTCATATGGCAGCTTGAGGCCAAATCCAAAGACTTGCAAGTATGTTCACAGTAAGGCCTTGATAAATGATACCAGATAAAATAACCATCTTGGAGGAAACTGGTGGGATCCAAATAGTTGAAGGCAATTTTCCGTCCATCTTCAACTTTTCTGTTTCAGGATCTCCCAAAAGCTATATTCTTTGGCTGCTTTAATGCAGTCTTGCAGACCAGTAAGATAAAGTTAAACCTTTGAAGTTTCAATAAATTGTCCTTTACAGTCTTTTTATATTCCATAATATGTGAAAAAAAAAAATGTGTGTGTATATACACAGTCACTTTTAAATACTGACGTTACTAGATTGTGTTTTGCCTTTTCTGTTCTCTAATAGCAGTCTTAACATCATCCGTAAAAAATACTATCCTGATTTATCACAACCCTGATTTTTATAGAATTTGCCCTGAAGCTAGGGAAGGAAGAACATAATTCATATTGCTACAGTTCTTTTAGGAGGGGAAATATTTTAAGTAAGTTTTTATGGGAAAACATTTAATCACTTATCCTAAGTAAAAGATGATATTTCGGATACCTATAAAGAATTTCCCATTCTGAGTTAGAATGCAACAGTTTCTTAGTTTGGAAATTCAAAGTGCCCTGTGTAAGAGCTGACAAATCCTTAAGTATCCTAATGTTTGACCCTTGTACAACTCATACACTGGTTATTTTGAATGATTATACGTTCTCCCACCTTTAATAAACATATGTCTGAGCTAAGGGAACTGTTTCCATTGTCTGCAGGACAGTGTGTCTTGTTTTAAATTCCGCTTTCAATTGCTTGTCAGAAATTGAAAAGCAACTACATTTTCTTAAATTTCTCGGTAACTCCCTGACCTTTTCCTCCTGCCAGGCTCTCTAATAAATAAAGTACATATAACGTAAGAATGATTGGAATCACCAACTCCAAAAAAGCTATTAATTTTATTTATTAAAAGTAAAATTTGGTTTTGCCCAGCAAGAACAAAGCCTCTTTCAACAGCAGCTGATTTCCAGATGATTTAGGAAGCAGAGATAATTGTTGTGATAACTTGGATTTGTATTTTAATATGCTGTCCGTTGACTTTTTAGGAAGCGAAACCTCATATAGTAGTGTGAAACCCTGACAAAGTAGAGATGGCTGCAGTTTGAGACTAATTGCAGATAGGAATTGGTACTTCACCCCAGCTTCAGTCAAATTAAGATCGTCATTCATTAGTAGATATATCCTTTATGAAAATGAGCTACAGATCTTTTCTAAAAGCCTTGGATAGCATCTGGTCCGTGAAAGAAAGACAGTCTATATATACATTCCTGTACAAAGAGCTTTGAGATAAGTGGTAGAAAATACTATGTAATTACAGCCGAAATAGATGCTTTGTGACATAGCAGTGCAATTATATTTACAGAAAAATCAGCTACATTTTTTTTCATTATATTGTAGCTGACTTGTGTTCTCCAATTTGCAATTACAGCATGCAAGGCCAGATTTATCCTTTCTTGTTCTTTCTAACAGGAAATATATTCATTTCTTTTAAAAACATAGACTGAGCTTTTCCATAAACCCATTTGCTGATACTTGTGTTTGGCCTTCTTGCTCTATACTGGCAAAAACATTTGATTTCTTTTCTTTGGCAGGAAGCTAGGCCAACTTGGAGCATGAGGGGGGAAGTAGGTCTTGCAACAGCCATCGTGTTTTTCTTCCATTACAGAATATGAGCTGTTTTCTTGATACAATTGAATTTTTCTTTTTTTTTTTCCAGCCTCTCTTTCAGGCTTTAAAGTGAAATTCACTTCAGTTGCACAATGGTGGTCCAGGGGTAAAGAATTCTAGACAACTTTGCTATACATAGTAGGCTATGACCTAGTACTGTTTTTTTTCCTTTTTTTTTTCTCTTTAACACTTTCGGCCTCCCTGCTTTTTCAGGGTGAATTGATCTCATCTTAATGGTGGGCTATGGTTCAGTGTGGCTTGAAGTTCTTCACCATGACATGTGAAAACAGCTTAGCTGAACTTGAGAAGTTCATGGTGCATCTTACAGGCTGCACCCAGTCCCCACACAAATTCTTCTGCTGGTTCTTAAATGAGAAACTACCTGTGATCCCTGTGGTCACAAAAGATTTCAAGGCACTTTGTCAACAGTAGTCCTGTATCTTGTGACCACTGCTTCACCATCTTGTTGAACGTCTTTGGAACGCTGGATTGCCAAGCTGTAGCAAGAGTTAACTGCAGTTCAGAGGTACTTCGGATGGAAAACAACATCCTTCAGGCCTAGCCCTCTCTTTTTCTCTGGGCCCTCTCCTGCTTGATACCAGTGCCTTAGCATCACTGGGGAGCATCCTGTACTGGGCCTAGAGACCATGAAACACTTGATCTTTCTAAAGATAAAGCAGCTGCAGAAATGCAAAAGATTCCTTAAATAAGAACTCGTTCTATCATGTCTTTGTGAATTGAATGGATAGTTCTCTAAAAGCACAGCTATCTCTGTTACATTAATTATAATGTATCCGTTTACCTTCTAGTCATTGGTTTTGTTCTGTTTTGTTCTTGTAGCTCAAAGCTTTCAGTAATACACATTTCCAAGGAACATGTATAGATTTCACAGCAGAAGTTTCTGATTTTACATCATTCATACCATGTTCATTTAAGGTTCTTCGGGGATGGTAAGTCTGTTGTTTTACATGCCACCATTTTAAGCAATACATAAGTTGTTTTAAACACTACTAAATTTCAGACAGATGAAAGTGCATAACACATGCCCATCATACTCCATCATGTCTTAGACCCTCTGTCTTGCAGTGCATCTCAGTAACTGTCATCCTGTTATTGGGTAGCATGCATTTGGCTTTCCCTGTGGAGTATTTGCACAATTACTGTAATTCCTTTTTTAACTCCAGTTAGAATTTATTCCAGATTTTGAGAACTCGGTACAGTAGAAGTGCCTGCATTCCACTCACGTCGTTTGGAACTGAGAATTCTGTACCACATGATTTGATTTTGCTGCTTTGATTACTTTGTCGCATAGCCTTTCAGGTCACCTTACTTTTAAGCTTAATTTTTAAGAGTAAGCAAATTTTTTTAGTCCTTATTTCCTTAGCAAATACTAAATCTTCGAAAAAACTTAAAGTTAATAAGCCGCTAGAGCAGCTAATCTTTTTTGTTACATTATTCTTGCAGTTGGCTCCTGTATTACCAAGGGGAAATTACTGACAATCACTGTGTGCTGGAAGAAGGCCTCTATGTTGACCTCAGTTCCTGTGGCTGCCCAACTGCTACAATCAAATCCCTCAAGCCTATTCAATATGTAAGGACTTTATTGAAAAAAAAAAATGTTTTGGAACTCTTTTCATAGTCGGATGTCTGAAGCAAGTGCTTGCATTAAGCAACCTCCCGCTTAGGGAAGAGAGTGAAGTTTGTTTTCTTGGCTTAAGGGATTTTTTGGATCAGAAACAAGCCAGGCTGTGTGCATGCCTGCACAGGGTCAGTGGTAGGCACTCAAAGTTACTCTGTTTTGTATAAGTTGCATTGGTTGGCGTTTTTCTGACTGGTCTTTATAATACAACTCAGCAAGCTTAGTACGCAGTGAGACATTTTGTCTAAAGTGGTGTAATATATGACACCTGTGGCCTGTGAGCTGTGAACAACACATCAGACTGTCCAGTCCAAAGCTCAGGTGGCCATGAGATGGTGACTTCTGAGGTACATGGCAAGTACTTACTACACATGCATATAATGTTCGAGTTGTTTTGGGGCCATGTTGGTTGTACTACCTAACCAAGCACACAGCTTGCAGTCAAGTGACCTATTGTAGCAGTAAGGTGAGATACAAGGCCCTCTATGGCCAGGAGATTGCACAGGAAGGCATTGTACTATCCAGTACAAGATAGATACAGCCTTTTGTACATCCTGTTGTAAATCTACACACAGGAGTTATGACGCTGGAGTCTGTGCCTTTGTCACGTATCTTGGTATGCTCCTGTGCAAGGATATCAAAGATAAGCTGGCCATAATGCTGTCAGTAGAAGAGAAGCAAGTGGCTGCTCTCCTCACTCCTCTGTAGCACTGACTTCTCCAAAACTTCCCTAATCACAGAACACAAGGTTTATGTGATGTACCCTTCAAAGTACCTCCTGGGAAACTAGACTTTAAAGATTAGTTAGTTCAGTTTTCTTCAAGTATTAAATATTTTTTCATTTTTGAATAGATAAAAACATACAAGCCCAAAAAAACCCTCACCCAAACACCAAAAGTCATGGGCATGGTGGGAAGATGTACAACTCGAGTTTGCGTGCTGGTCTTTTCACTAGGTTACATAAATACAGTGACTTCAGTGGGACTATGACTTCACACCTGCCAAGGGTCTGGTTTTCAGATTAAAGATCTCCTTCTCACGTTAGGCTTTTGGACTCTGCTAAATTAGAATGACGTTCTGACACAGAATGGCAGATCTCGTCCAAATCCCTCAGCCTGCAATCTCACAGGGAAGTAACTATGCAGTTTGGCATAATAGGAAGCTACTGGCAGCCCTTGATTACCAAGGGCCAAGCCCTGGGAGAAGTGTGTTTGGCAGGCTCTGTGTGGGAAGCTTACACACATCTTCCTGTACTTTGTAAGTGGCATGCACCTCTTAGTTCAGTTCCTCCCTTGCCAATAGGAGCCCTCGCATTTCACAAAATCGAGGTGCTAAATGGCGTAAAATGCTATTGAGCCACACCTGTTTTATAAATAGAAATTCCCTCATCGGCCCCTAACACATTGTGTGTGCTCGTGGCACGAGGCCGTGCTCAGGGGCATTGTGGAGCACAGACGTGACGTTCAGCACGCAGCAGTAAGGTTGGTCAGTGGTCAGAAACAGCCGTAGTTAATTCTGTGCATTGTCCGTGGCGTGCTGCTCTTGGAACAGAGCCCTTTTTATTACAAGTTATTTCTGTTAGCTCATTCAAGAGAGCAGCAAGCATATTCCCAAGGGCGCTTGTTGTACGGCTTTATTGAATTCAGTTGTGACGTGGAGAACCCCTTCCATTATTCAGCTTTAAACACCAGCCCAATTTCAGACCTGAGGTGTGTATCTCAATAGCTTGTGTGTGAGAGGGAGAATATTTAACCCCGACACCAGGCCCTGAACATGCATTATCTCCTGCTCTCCCTTAAGCGAGATGCGTATTTGCTGCAACTAACTGTCGGAAGAACTCTCACGCCGCAGGGAGCCGTGTGTTGCTTCGTTGTGTGAGGTTTCTGCCTCCCAGATGTTGACTAGAAGTAGAGGCCCATGTGTGGCACTCATGAAGGAGGAAAAATCATATGCTTTTAGCAGTACTGAGGACTTGTATAAGGCTAGCTCGTTACCAGCCTTTGAAAACAGTCCAAGTCCATTGACTGGCGTAGGCGTGGGCCAGCTGTATATTTTGGGAGTAGATTGCTTCAGCCAGTCCTTTGGGATAGGAGAACAAATCTGCTGGAGGAAATGGGGACACAAGATGTGGGTGTGACCTTTCTGATTTGCAGTATCGCAACGATAACTGTATGTTACCTTGATTTGTACAGCTGAGTGAAGTCCCAGTTCTGGGCCTTTATGTGCAGGATGTCTGTAAGTATATAGATTATTTTTGTGGGGCAAACTCCAGTGAGGCATAGCAGTCAACGCAGGCCACTGACACCTGTGGAGTGTGCAGCTTGGATGGACCAATTCACACTGATTTCTGCATCTGATCCTCAACCATGATGCCTTTTCTGTTGTTATCTGTTCTGGTAACTAAAAGGAACATCTGGCAACATCTTTGCTATTGCATGTGGCAGTAGCTTCAGTGTAGCTTTTGAGTTTTTGCTTAAAATCTGTAACAAGGGGGCTTTTGGATGTTGTCAGCTGCCACAAGGTTTCTCTTCTGCCACGAGGAGAATTTGAGGATTAAAGTTACGTATTTGTAGTACTCCTTAATGTATGGGCCTGCTTTTGTGACCTGATGGAACAGCTCTGTAAGGTGGCAGTGAGATCTTTGCGATTGAAGTAACTGTAATGCCTTAAGTTATGTGTAACAGCTAAGAACTTCTGCAAAGTCTTGACTGACTTTTTTTTAAAAAAATAAATCAACCATTGAAGATAACGAAAAGATTTGAGGAAATAGTTTGTTCACTGGAAAGTGCAGCTTTGATGTAAACAAAATATTTGCAAACAAATTGGGCAAGTGTTTTAAATGAAGAAATGAGGAATTATTTTTTTTTAGGAAAGCAAATGTTTGAGTTTTCAGTTTAAAAACTGCCAGAAATATAATTTGCTTCTTTAAGAGCTTAAATACATAACAAAATGAAAAATCTCTTTCTAAATTAAAATAGAAAAAAATCCAAAACTTTCAGCGCAATGCAGAAAGAACTTGGATAAGAAACAGGCTCAGGCTATTGATTGGTGTGATTTCTTCACTAGATTGGCTGGCTTGTGTTCTAACCTTTGGCTCTTAGAGGGATGTTTTATGGGGTCTCTGCTGAAAAGTGAAGTTGCCGTCACTTAAGTGTGACGTGCCACCCCCACTCCCTCCACACACACACACACCCCCATTTCTCAAGAAATTCAAATTAACACGTTTCCGCTTGGGTTATTTCTCCATTTTTTAGGCATTAGCAGCATAGAGGAATTACGCGTGTCTTTTTTCGACTGGTTGCTGAGGAAGTAGCAAAGCAAAAGTTAGGCAGGTTCATAAGGAAAGTGAGGAAGGTATCATTCCCAGGAACCTCTCTCCCATCTTGGCTTATTCTCCGAGGCATACAGTACTCAAACTAAATCTTTAGGAGGCCCTACCTGTATTTTTCCTCTGCTGTTCCTTTTCGCTCAGACTGGACTGTTTTGGTCTTGTGGGAGCATTTAGGAAAAGCTATTGGCTAACGAGAGGGTACAAAGAAGGAACAAAGAATATCTGCACCTTGTTAATGAGAAAATAATGTTGGTATTCTTGAAGGAAGAATAGCATTGCAATACCCATGATTAATCTAGGTTGCATATTGAATAACGATGTGTGGCATGACCTCTTCCCTTCTGAAAAGGGGAATGCTTTTGAAAGACCAGTGAGACTTCACTATTTCCTAAGTGGGGAAAATATGCTAAAAAGGAAATCTCACAGAAACAGATTTCTTTAATTAGAAGATGTTCTTACAGCGAGGAGGTCAATTCTAATACTGCCTTTTCTCAGGCATGTTGTTTTGTCAAACCCCCCGTAATATTTGGTGTGACTTACATGGATTGTTGCAGCAAGCAATTAGTTTTCCTTCTAAAATATGGAATTCAACCCTGAAGTTAAGCCAGTCTCTCATAGTTTGTAAAAACAAAACTGAGATCTGCGTTGTAGGTTGTGCAGCACTTCCCTTTTTTCCTTCTGAGGCATTCTTATTCTTGCTCTGATCAGTTGTGATAGTTCCTGTATTTCTATAATGATTATGTTTTCCAAGTTAACTACAGGTGTTAACTAGTCTTCCAAGCATTCCTGTGAGGGAAATGATTAAATCAGGCACAAAAATTGATCGCTGTTTCCCAGGGCCAGGCAATGAGTCATTTTGTATCACTGGGAGTGACTGTGGGTGTTCCTGTAGTCCAGGTCCGTGATCCTCTCCCTCAGCCAGGCGTCCTCCCACACTGGAGGGAGTAGCCAGGTCAGCACAGCTTCGGTAAAGACAGTTGTAAATGACAAGTTAGCCAAGAGTGAAGAGTAAAGGTTTTTCCAAGGATGTTGTAACACAGCTGTGGAGCCTCCTCCAGCTCATGCTCTGGCAAATGCTGATTGCATGGCAACAGGTCAGCAGGGATGTGAAGTGGAGAGACATACCAAACCTTCCGATGACTGGATGACAGGCATGCCTTTATAAGGCTTTCCTGTCAAAGTTTGTAAAAATCTGACTTTACCACACAAAAAAAAAAACCTGCAAGGGAAAATACAGTTTGAGCTCAACTCCTCTCTAAAGGGCTGTGTTAGTAAGAGTTTGCACAAAATTCATAACAAAAAGTTCTCTGCATATTATCTGTAGCTAAAATTTTGCTTGTTTTTTTTTATAAGCACACGTGCAGATTCACTTGTGCACTCATTTTTCAGCTGTAGCACTTTTACTTAGCTTCCTTGTGTCTGTACACTGTTGGCTTTTCAGTAGGTCAAGCATCTAAGCCTTGCACTGCAAACGAAAGGCATTTGAAAGGAGGCTGATCTTGCACTGATCTTTGTTTAGTATCAAACACTTCAGGCTTATGTTACGTTCTTTTTCTGAGATGGCAAAGCATAAAGTTCTACTCTGAATTGTGAAAAACCTGTGGTGCACAGCTTCTCTCAATTGAAAAAAAAACAGTGAAATTCGTTGAAGGAAAAGTCTGAGCTGAGTTGAACTGTGCAAGAGATTTTTAGTGCGTTGATTTCCGTGGTTTACTTTTCAGCCTCTGGAATCACACCATGGGGAGGGGAAAAGCTGTATCATTTTCATGGCATCATGTGCTGTATTAGCTGTAGGCTACCACACCTGTTAAGTAAAGACTGTCACTGTATTTAACAATTCACAAGGCTGCTTATATCTTGAAGTGCTATGTAAATATAGCCTTCCTTAAACACTGGCCTCTCTCATATACGAAATCTGTTTGACTTTCTTCTGGGACCCTGGCATCAAAAATCAAGCAAAACCTCTTGAAACTTTATTGGTGCTGGTTTAAGCAAGGCAGTGAGTTCCTTAATGCACAAAGATCAGGTTAAGTAATTATTTAGTGCTTTGTGGTTATTGCAGTTGGCAAGCTTTCCCCAAAGGATGGCATTTCAGGTTTTTTTCCTTGAAATAACTAGGAAAGGAAGCTAAGGTAATCCTGACCTAGCCATGGCAAGGATTTGCCAATTGTGGGTAAATGTAGATGTTTTTAACTTGCCCTTCAAAACTGGGGACCAGGGTCCACCTAAAGCAACTCCACCATCTGAGGTTGCCCCCGCTTGTATTCTCTGCCCAGTTTCCCTTACTCTGTCTGGCGTTCCTCCCTGACCTGTCAGCATTTGGCCTTGATGGTAAAAGCTGACCGTGTCAGTCTCATGCTTACCTATCAATGATGACCCTTCAGCTGGAAAATGGCTGAAAATGCACCGCAGCATTCTGCAAAGAAGGGCGGGAGTGAGGTCACACAGAATCACAGAGTGTTCGGGTTTGGAAGAGACCTTAAAAGATCATCTAGTCCAGGCCCCCTGCCAGAGCAGGATCACTTACAGTAGGTCACATAGGAACGCGTCCAGGCAGGTTTTGAATGTCTCCAGAGAAGGAGAATGAGATGCCTCTGTGGTAAGTGTTAACAGCGTAGCCTCAAAACCTTGTTTTTTACTGTTGGTAGTTTCCATGGAGCTATGAAAACAAAATCAGAGAAAAAAGCCAGGCCAAGTCACTGCTGCCAGCTATTGGTGTGAAATGGTATACATAAAGTGAGTAATCAACTCGTTGCTCTATATATGGTTATGGAAAGACAAGAGCTTCAGTGCTTGAGACAGCAGCATGTTTTCTGTGCTTCGCCGCTGTGCCAAGATGAGTGGAGTCCTGCTGAGTCCTCACTGGGGGGGTGGCATCAGTCCTTGTGATCGGCGCTGGGCTGGTTGTGTGTGTGCGTGTGTGTGTGCCATAGATGCAGTGTCGGCTGTACCAGCGCGCTGGGACTCTGAGCAACTGGACGGGGCTTTCTCGGGCTCGTTGAGTTCAAACAGTCTCAGCCTACGTGAGAGCTGGAGTCGTTTCAATTGACATCACCAATTCGCTGATTCTTGGTGTATAAGTGGATATGCCAGATCAGATGACTTGCCCATCTAGTACAGCATCCCTGTCTCTTAATACATTGAATATTACGACAGCGCAATAAATTTTAGGCTTTACTAACAGTATCCAACAGCTAGCACACCAAATGGTGTTCCCCATGCTTACTAGTGCATTTGTGAAAATTTTCTCTGTTGGACCAGTTCTGGATGTGGCTTCTGGTCTCCACTCAGGTGAACACCAGTGCCAAGGAAGTAGACTTGCAGACTGGAGTGTGATGATACCACCTTGCTGAGCAAAGCAACCTGAGAAATAGCTGCCTGCATTAGATCTGCTGGTCTAGATTTCAGAGTAAGCCTTTAGACACACAGTATATCAGTTTGACCCATCTCATTCAGCAGAAGGCAGGGGGTAGAGCTGACATTCCCAAATAAAAACCTTATTAGTTTTAATCTACTGTTTTGTAGAAAAAGAAGTGCAGTGGGCTTTAAAAATCTCTCCTGGTGAATGACTCCAGGCTCTTCTTTAAAGGTCTCAGCAAACTCCCGGTCTGTGCAGTATTACATGAGTTACATTGTCCCTGCACTGGCTGGCAGAGGAAAACAATTTCTCTGAGGCAGGATTTGAACCAGCTACATACCAAGTGCACTGAGTCAGCACCAGTAAATTTGTAAGCCCTGAATCACCACTGAGTTCTTCAGAGACAGTTCACTACATGTGCCTCTGCAAACGTCGAAGTTAAGTTCTCTTAATTACTCAGTGCCTGTGTCAACTTTAATTCAAGATTTTTGTTTCATTCATTCCACCTGAGGCCATGTCTTAGCTGCAGAAGAAATCCTACCTTTTCCACATCCAGCTATCTCAGGGTAACATCTCCTAAGAACAAGGTGACATCCCTGGAGAGGCTGCTAATTGAAGCAGTTATTCAGACCAATTCCCTCTTCCTTTCCCAAACTAGAAATTACAAGTGCATAACAGTTCTGGTTGTGATACTTCCCTTATGGTTTTGGGTTAAAAATGTTGAAAAATCGCACAAGTGTTCCTCGCGCTAAGGCACAGACTTTGTGTATTTAAATCTGTTCCGTCTGTGCTTTTCTGCTGATCTTATGGCTGTGTCACATTTGCGTGTAAACTGATTTTTTTATTGCTTTCATTGGCAATCTCTCGACCATAGAACAGAACATAAAGTGAAATATGTTTCAATTCTACATGAGATTGAAAGGGTTACTAATTACACTATTGCTTCAAGATTGTCGAAAGAATACCAGGAATATCTGTTGAAAGCATTGAGAACTTTTGAGTTCTGACATTTTTAACTTTTTTCAGTTTGTAGATCCCGAAGATTTTTCCCATGAGCCACTGCTAATTGAAAGTCTGTGGACAACAGACTTGTGATTTGTCTCACTACTTCAGATGCAATCTGCACATCACTCTGAAAACTACTGCTGGAACCTGTTCTGCCAATAAATAAACTGGATTTATGAAAAGAAATCAAAGCCCTAACGATACAAATCAAATCAAAAAGGGATCTTTCAAATGCAGAGATGCCTCTGCTTCTCAAAGCAACTCGCTGTGTCTGGCCTGTGTCAGTGCAGCACTGTACTCCGATGACAAAGCCACTGATAAATCCCGCGTGTTTCAGCTCTGTGTGCTTTGTTGGTGGATGTACATTTATTTTTCCTTGCTATTACATTTGCTGAGGGAGCATGATCTAACCCGAAAGCATGTGGAAATTAAACAGAAGTGGGCAAATGCACTTATCGTGCCTAACAACTGAAGTTAGACTATTCTTAGTAACATTTGGCTTTTTTTTCCTCCTTCCTCTCCCCCCTTCAGGTTTTTGCTGAGCCCTCTGTAAGTCTGTTTGCTCTGGAATGCTGCAAGGGAAGAGAGCTGCATTTCAGCGGACCTGTCAATTCTGTTTTGAGTGAGGACCTTCATTTTTACACTCAGTCTGTATGGGTGAGAAGTGGATTGTAAGTATAGAAGAAATACTTGTGTCAGTTTTGCATTATAGGAGCTGATACTTAGCCTGCATTTTCTCCCAATTACTGCCTTATTTCATAGGATGTATTTTACATTGAAATGATATAAAATCCTAAAATGCACTTGAATGCTAGATCCATGTTTTGTGGCAGGACCTAAAATGAACAAAAACTCTGGACAGAGGGTGTATTTCACACTGTAAAATTGTCCTTTTATCCCTATGCAGTAATGAACAATAGAGCCTGTTGTTCAAACCAGGAACCGAAAGCAAGTAAGTTTTGATTGCTGACTTATAAAGACAGGTCGAGTAAACTCAGACTGCCTTTATTAACAGCCTGTAAAATACCAGCTATAAACTGCAGTGATTTAACTTAAACCACTGCAGGGGTTCAGTGAAACTTGACATGCTGATCAGCTGCCAAAGAGGCAGCAACTTCCGAGAGAAGCTCTGGGTGGATCTGACAGCCGGAACAGCAGTTGGCTTTTGTTGTTAGTTTACTCCCGTCTCCCTGTGAGTGTGAGCACACAGCCAGGGTCTTCTGTGAAAATCATCCTACATCTGCAGAAGTGACCCTTCTAACATCTTCCGCATCTCTCTCCTTTTGGAGAAACTCTGAAGTTTTCTGTCTTGGTGAGGATTTGAGCCTCGACATAGTCAGCAGCAAGAAATAAATTGCAGTCTCATTCTGCAACTGAGACTGACTGGAAACTGCGGTTCTTCCAATGTGACACGTGTCCTGTGTTTAACCTTCTCCCCACCTTTCTCACATAGACAAGTCTGTCATTTTCTTGAGAGTTCTTATGGGATGCCACAAAACATGCAAAATTTTAACTAATTGGGCAAGGAATTAGTATAGACGGTTCATGGCTTAGCTATATCTCTGTTATGGTTTTTACAATGAATTTGTCATATGTATCAACTCCGTTACCACCTAGAAGTCAAAACCTTTCTACAGATATCTGTGGTAACACTGCTGAGTGCTCTTTTGATTTTTTGAGGTTGGCACAAAGGCTAGGCCTAACCTAGCTAGAGCTCCAGAGCACCAGGCACTATTTTCTTTCAGGAAGCTCACACAGGAATGTCTTGAAATGTTGGCTAAGGATTGAATCTCTCTTTAAGAGCGGTCAGTAGCTGTTGATTTTAGCTGTGGGCCCATAGTCAATATAAGCTTCCCCATTTCACTATAAATTCTAGTTTCTACCATCTGTGCCACTTCCATCCCAAGCCCTTGCTGAAAATACAGAGGGTGATCATCTGCTGTGCTCGTGTCTTGGGGTCCCCCTGGTGAGCATGGCAAGCAGCTGCCCTTTAAGGCTGAGAACAGTAGGCATGCATTCACTGTGACCTGTGCTAGTTTGGAGGAGGAAAAGCCTTCTTTGGGAGGAACACCTGACTCATTTCTGGTGGGAGTGTGTAAATCTTCATGCCTCTGTAGAGGTGTTACAGTCTAAAGCGTGTCCTGTTGGGGAACGTCTCTTTATGAGCTTTCTCTGCCCTCTCATCAGGGGTGTGGAACTGGAAATTAAATTGCCTTGCCCATGCAGCTGGCCATAGAGAAAGGGTGATGGCTTTGGGAGCACACAGCAGAAAAACACAGCAGAGTGAGCACAACATTCCAGCCCCTTCCCCATCTTCATTTCTGAGTATCCAAGCCAGGTTAGGTGGTTCCCTGTCTCTGGGAAGGGCCAGGGCAGAATGGCTGGGCTTCCTCTGAGCTCCTTAGGGTGCTCCCCGAGAAACAGACCTCCCCAGCCTGTCCCCACCCCACTCTGCTGATGAGGAGCCTAAAGGTTGAAGGTGTCAGGTGATCATGGGAATGTCCTAGAGGATTGTTTGCCTTCTCTGTGACCAAGAGTTCAGGAAGGTGGATTTAGAGGTATTTTGGCTCCTTGCCCCAAAGCTTACCATCAGCTTTAAACAAATGACACAGATTAATGTAAACATATCGATGGCATTTTGCTGCCAGTCTTCGGTACAAAGACCCTTCCTGAACCAAGGGACCACCTTGGTGAGAAATGGCACAAGCCTGGACTGGTGTTTGGCAGAGGGGGCTGAGGGACTCCAAGGCATGGGAAAGATGGCACAGTGCAGGCTGTGGTTCTGCGTGAGAGCCGAGATGAGTTTTGTCAGTGTCACTGAATGCCAGAAGCCCAGCCTGGTTCCATGTGGCTATTACTGTATCAGTCTTTCCCCTCCCTGTTTCCTATAAATGTCTGGTTTTAAACTACATTTCAAATGAGACTCTCCTATGCTCCAAGAACAACGCTAACAGTTGGCTTGATAGAAGGCGTTGCAAGAGAAGTCAGGAATGCATTAGAAGTGTAAGGAACACACAGTGGTGGTCAGGCTGCTCTGAATACCTGTGGAGGGGCATGGGACTTAATTTGAAGAAACAGTGATACAGCCTCATTAGGAGGCAATTCCCCACTGGCACCGTTAGCCTCCAAGGAGCACTGAGCAAGGCTGGTTGGCAGGTGCTTCAATTTAAGAGCAATGCGGTAAATTACACGTGCTGTGAGCACTGCTTGTGGATGTTTTCCCACTGACTTGCAGCCATCCCTCCTGTTTTTGGCAGCTGACATGTAAAACAGGTAACAGTGGGGAAACCAGTATTTGTTTTGTGTTGGGCTGAGTTAATGAGTTGAGCATTTAGGATTCGCTGTCCACACAGCAGTGCCCTACTGATACAAATAAAACCACCCTGTAGTCCTGAGGCTGCAAGGAGCATTTACGGAGCAGATGCCTGGAGATAACATGGGATCTGCATGTGCCGGTGCTTTAACTCTGTTCAAGGATTCAGCCATGTCCACGTCTCACATATATTCACTACAGGGACGTATGTTAAATATCGTATAGGTTTTGGAGTATTAAGTATTTCTTACGTTTTTTCAGACTAGTGGAATAGCTACAAAAAGCTTCAACTGTGACAAAAGAAAATATTGGCCTAGATCCTCTCATAATTAATAGATACAGCCCAGCAAAACTGCAAGTCGGGCAGCCTGGTGTCTGGCTCCTGGTTTCTTAACGTGTGCCCACGGAAACCTGCATGGTTGCCATCTGAGTTCATGAAAAGGTTCTTCTATTTGTGGGAAAAAATTGGGGGGGGCAGGGGGAGGACAGTCTATGGAGTTCACACATTTCCAGCAGACAGAAAACTGGTCTTAAATTAGACAGAAAACAGTTAAACCACTGAGATGGGGGTGGCATTTTGTGGCACAGTAATAGAGGTTTGACATTAGCACTTCTTTAGGAAGAGGTTTGGGGGCTTTTGAGGGTGCAGTCCTGAACACAAGCGTGTAGTTTAGCTTTGCTGTGGTTAAACACGTGGACTTCCATGTTCTGTTTTCTGTGTCCAGGTGGATTGCGTACGAGGGATGCAATTTTTTAGGAAAGCAGATTCTGCTGGAGCCGGGTGAGATTTCAAACTGGAATGAACACAGTGGCTGGAAAGGAATTGGCTCCCTTCGTCCTTTGAAGCAGGTACTGTAGGACTGTATGAGGACAACTATGGGGTTTTTTGGGACAGGGATTTGTGCAAAAGTATCAGCTCTACCAGTAAGTATAATGGTGTGCATTGTACTTCCTAAATCAGGCCAAATGATGACAGCCAGAAGGACCTACTGGAAGATTACCGAAGCAGAAAATTCCTCCGATGACAGTTATTGAGATCTATATTAGGCTCCTAAAGGGAAATAATTCCTAGTTTCTTGGAGCCAAGTTTTGTTTTTCTGAATAGCTCATTAGCGTGTTCTGTAGATGCTCTATTTTTACATTTTTGCCACATAACAATAATGAGAAAACCAATTTTTCATTGGCTTGTTTCATAATTAACATAAATGGAAGCAAGAGCAAATTTTATTCTGCTGTAGCTTGAATTTCCAAAAGAAGCAAAATTATGCAGTCCCACCATTTTCCCCCTCTGCCTCACTCCAAATAACACCTATTTCAGTGTCATTCAAAGACTCGGGTCTCAAAACCGCAAAGTTCTTAGGAGCTTTGTGAAAGTTAGAGAAGCAAGACTGAGATAACCACTCTCATTCCAGGAAAAAGCAGGTACGATTCTACTTCTCGGCCTTTCCAGCACAGGTGAGGTCACCAGTGACACATACAAGCTCCAACCCAGTGGAAGGCTCATGTCTCCACAGTAGGAAAAGGACAGGGGAGAGTGGCAGGGAACGTGACCAGTAATTCCACTGGAAAAGAGTTTTTGTCAGTTCTGCTTCTCACAGAACAACTTGTTTCTACAAACGCTGCTTTATTTTTAAACACTGGATTCAACTTGCAATGAACAATAATCATCTTTAGCATCCGTCCCTTCCCCCCATCCTTCCCTGAAAAGTAAAGGACTTGTTGTTTTTCCCCCCCAATGATTTATTAGTCCAAGAAGTTGACAGCTCCCTGGAATTCTCTGGAAGTGTTAACTACCCCAGGATTCCAATTTGGCTGTGTTCTTGCAAATAATAATAATGAAAATAATTTGTGCTGATCTTAAAAACAGAATTCTTTCTTCAGCCAGCAATCTGAAGAGCTTTTGTATTTGGCAGCATCCTTTTTTACACTGCGAGTACTGTTAGGAGGCCGACTTCAGCTGCTTTGCTGGGACTTTTGCATTTGGGGTTTGTGTGATTTTTTTTTTTATTTTATTTTGGTTTTGTTTAGTTTTTATTCTTGCAAACTGAGGGCTTCCTCGAGTTTGTGCAGTCAGCTGCCTGTGCTTGACACTTCTGTGAGCATATGGTCTTTTTTTCTGCGACTGCACTGCTTCATGTTTCTTCCTTCCGGCTCCATTACAAATTACAAAACGGATCAAGTCCACCAGTGTCAGAGGTAGTACAAGAACAAGCAAAACATTTGAAAGACATGCAAAATGAGACACAAAAGTTCTGCTCAGCGACTTCAGAATGCAATCCTTGTAAAAAATAACTATACGTTATGCTGATACACATTAGTTTATGGAAGCTTGGTGGGACAGAGGCTTTTTTATCTGTACCTTAGCATTTGTTTTAATGTGGGGGAAAAAAAAAAAAAAGGAGCTGGGATTTCCACATAGCTGCCCTTTATAACTCACTGCTCTTTAGTTGTGCCAGAACCAAAGAATAACAGTGCAAAAGCTCGACCCCTGTAGCAGCTCCTCATTTTTTTGAGTAAACAGGAATACCAAGCCAGGACCCTGTTATCCTTGTACGTTCAAAAGCAGTGGTGTCACTTCTCTGCTGTATAGTCCCGTTAGTGGGGGCTGAAGTTGCTGGATCTGTGACTCAGTAAGTTTTGTGTCCTGAGAACAAAAAGCGTGTGGAGTACAGCTCATTTACTGGCTGTGGAATGAGTGAAATGTGCTGACCTAGAGATATTTGCACATCACAGGAATTCATGCTATAGACATAAATATATCTTAAAAAAAAAACAAACCCCAAATTATCTGCCTATGAAAAACACTACTGCTGCCCATGTTAACAAAAAAATTACTGAATGCCCTCGTCTGAAACTTAGACTTTAGAAAACTGGTATAAAAGACGGAGGACAGGTATTCTCACATTGACTTTCTTCAGCTCTGTGTTATAACAACTCTTTCCGTTCACGCCATTTCAGCCAGCAGTGTACCTCAGAGTGAAGAACCGAGCCCACGGTAAATATCTGACGGTCACTGGAAGCCTGGCAGATATAAGAGCAACATCGGTGTGTGCATCCCCGTATAACGGGAAGAATACCCAGATCTGGCACTACTGTCGTGGACTCTTCAAATCCAAGGTGAGTTTCCAGGTGCTGGAAGGTGGGTGGGTTGGATCTCCTCATGTCTCTTCTCCTTCTCTTCTTGCGTTATACTGTAGGCTAACATTAACACCAGGGTAGCTTTTGGCCTCTCCCAGAGGTCAAAAAATACCAGAGAAACCTGGTTGTGTCTGAAGTCACAAGTTTAAGTTTTTTGCTGCTGAAGTGTTAAGAATTTCTCTAAGAAGTGATATGCAAAGAAAGTGATTTTGTTTAATGCTGCCCTCCATAGCCTGTTATTAATATAAAAAGCTGACGATTTAACATGAGAAACACCTGAAGTAAGGAAGACCCCCACCTCTGATCAAGTAGCTGCTCAGTTGCCGAAATCATCTGTTCCCAGGCTGCTCACGGGGTCTGTCACCAGCTGGAGCATGATTGCTGCAGTACTGCTCGGTGTCAGGCACAAACCTGATGCTTTTATGGCCTGAATCTCACTTCTCTTCTTGCGTCCCAGGCTAACAACGCCTGCCTGGATGTCATCGGTGGCAGAGATGTGCCTGGGGCTAAAGTCGCACTCTGGGCAGAACATGGGAAGGACCGGCAAAAGTGGAGACTCAGTGAGGATGGAACCATCAGTTCATACCTCAGCGACCAACTGGTGCTTGATATTAAAGGTATTTTTATATATATAAAAAACCCCACACAACTAAACCTAGTATGTTCTAAATGCATTTTATGATTAACGTTAATTGCCATATTCCACTTCTTTTTGTACTTAAGGTTGAATACTGAATCCCACCTTTCCTGTTAGGTTTATGTCCAGTTGCTTGACAATGGGACAAGAAACAACACGGCAGGGGGGAACCTGACTCTTTTGATCCCAGAGGTTTAGTCTGATCACATGAACTCTTCTACTTGTGATTGTTCAGTAGCGCTAGTCACAGAAGTAGTAGTAGTCACAGTAGTAGTAGTGCAAGTCACAGAGGACAAAAATAGCGAAGGAAATTCAAGGATGGAGTAGGTGTGGCTCCAAAAGGGAAAAGCACTTGCCCTAATGTTTTCAGGCTGGTTAAAATTGTCATTGCTTAAGTCCTAGTCCTCCTAATTATCCATCGTGGTAGAACTGCCTCACTGGAGAATGCCCGGCTGCTGGTGCTAGAGTTTTATTCCCTGGGAAAGGTTGTGAGGCAGTGGCTGATTATGAGGCTGGGGGGCTCTACAGTGCTGTCTTCTCAGAGGAAAGGTCTAAGTAAAGTAATTAATAGCCTGACACCCCTGCAAAGCTCAGAGACCAGGGTAAGGGCATGTCCCACAGCTGAAGCCATCAACCTTTTCAGTCAAAGTCCTACCAGCTGTTACTGCAGCTCACACTTACTGATAATGTATTCCCAGCCCCATGGTACTGAATTAATAGAGCATTCCTGGCTTCTGGAACTAAGGCATGTAATCACCATTCCTAATTCATAAAGTTACTACTAATCCACTGAATGCAGCTGTTGATACTGATGGCAGCTCTTTACAGTAGCAGAGAGATGTGCTGCCTAGGTACCTTGCAAGGCAGGTCAAGGACAACAGAAAAGACTTCTTCAAATACATTGCAGATAAAACTAATACTAATAAAACTAATACCTCTGAATGAGGTGGGTGCCCTGGTGACAGAGGACACAGGGCAGAGTTACTGAATGAGGATGAGGGAACAAACTGCAGTCAGCAAATTGCTGATGGCACTAAATTGGGAGGAGGGGCTGACACAGACAGGCTGACTTAGACAGGCTGGAGGGCTGGGAGTAATTTTTATGAAACTCAACAAGGGCAAGTGTAGAGTCTTGCACCAGGGAAAGAACAACCTCATGCGCCAGTATAGGTTGGAGTCTGACCTGTTGGAGAGCAGTGCAGGGGACAGGGACCTGGGGGTTCTGGTGTGCAGCAGGATGCCCATGAGCCAGCAATGTGCCCTCGTGGCCAAGAAGGCCAGTGGCGTCCGGGGGTGTGTTAGAAGGGGAGTAGCTAGTAGGTCGAGACAGATCCTCCTGCCCCTCTGCTCTGCCCTGGTGAGGCCACATCTGGAATATTGTGTCCAGTTCTGGGCCCCTGAGCTCAAGAGAGACAGGGAACTGCTGGAGAGAGTCCAGCGCAGAGCCACAAAGATGCTGAAGGGAGCGGAACATCTCCCTTATGAGGAAAGGCTGAAGGACCTTGGAGAAGCTTGGAGAAGAGGAGGCTGAGGGGTGATGTCTGTAAATGTGTAAAGGGTGTCAGGGGGACGGAGCCAGGCTCTTCCCAGGGATTTTCAGTAACAGGACAAGGGGTAATGGCTGCAAGCAGGAACACAGGAGGGTCCACAAA